GCTCTTGCCGATGCCACCATGCTGCACCACCTCAGCTTTGACGCCCATGCACAGCTCATTTTGACCACCGACGCTTCCAGCAGTGCTGTCGGCGCAGTCTTGCATCAACAAGTGAATAACCAGTTGCAGCCCTTAGCTTTCTGTTCACAGAAGCTACAACCGGTGCAGACTCGCTACAGTACTTTCCCTCGCTAGCCCCTTGCTATCTACTTGGTCATACGTCACTTTCGACACATTTTAGAGGGCAGAGACTTTTCGGTTCACACCGACCATAAACCTCTCACTTACGCCCTCAAGGCCAAGCCAGATCGGTACTCGCCCAGGGAAGTTCGTCACCTGGACTATATATCGCAGTTTACTGCAGATATCCGCTACGTCCGAGGCAGCGACAATGTCGCTGCTGATGCATTATCCCGTCCGGACATCAACACACTCACATCCGATTTCGACCTGGCGAGGCTTGCAGACCTCCAAACAGCAGACGAGTCCATCGCGGACTTACGTACGTCTACTACTCTGCAGCTTCGAGATGCACCACTTCCTGCGTCACCACGTGCGATTTTGTGCGATTGGTCCACAGACACCCCTCGTCCTGTTGTTGCACTAACCTATCGTAAGGTCGTCTTTGACCACATTCACTCCCTCTCCCACCCTGGCATTCGCGCTGGACGTAAGTTAATTGCGTCTCGTTTTGTTTGGCCGAAGATGAATTCCGACATTGCTCTTTGGAACAAACAGTGTCTCGCATGCCAGGAGAACAAGGTGCATCGACACACCTTCTCCCCTCCAAGTACCTTTGCGGTCCCGGACGTTCGATTTAATCACGTTCACTTGGATTTAATCGAACCGTTGCCACCTTCACGTGGGTACACACATATCCTGACGGCAGTTGACCGTTTCACACGATGGCCGATTGCCGTTCCTATCTCGGATACCTCGGCAGAAAATATCGCCATGGTTTTTCTGATCCACTGGATCTCAACTTTTGGTGTTCCAGCCACCCTTACCACTGACCGCGGAAGTCAATTCCAATCTAGCCTCTTCCGTGAGTTCACTAGACTGCTCGGGTGTGCGCACATCACAATCACGGCATACCATCCTGCCTCCAACGGCCTCGTTGAGCGTCTACACCGCCAACGTAAGTCCGCACTGATGTCCCAAACAGAGTCAGCTACTTGGAGTGTCAATATCCCTCTTGTGCTTTTGGGCATCCGATCTTCTGTCAAGGAGGACATCCAATGCACTGCCGCCGAACTTGTGTACGGTACACCCCTCCGTCTGCCCGGCGAATTTGTGTAGCCTTCCACGACAAACAATAACATCCCGAGCACCTTCGTACAGCAGTTGAAACAACGCATGGCTCAACTGCGTCCAACCCCTACTCGTCTGACATCGAAACATGTGTTTGTAGACGAGGACCTTAAATCTTCCCCCTTTGTTTTCGTCCGGCATAACGCAGTGCGCAAGCCCCTTTGTCCTTCCTACGATGGCCCATATAAGGTCGTTCATCGGAAAGACAAGTTTTACGCCCTTCAGAAGGCTGATAAGACTGACACGGTCTCCATTGACCGCCTTAAGGTCAAGGTCAAGCCGCTGGTTTTAAATTTGAAGATAAGTGGAGGATATTATTTTTAGTGGTTTTTCTGTGAGATATAACGATTTTAGTACCTGTTTTTTGTTTGAATTTCCTTAAATACAGGCCTTTTCTCTAAGAACTGCCCGCTGCCATCTCCTTTCGAGTTTTGCTAGTCTATGCCCGTTGTTCACTAATCGCACTTTGCAATTCTCATTTTGTGCATCCGATTTCTCTCTAACTGTTGTAATTTATTTTTACATCGTTAGCCCCTAGCTGAAATTCAGTCAACTTGTCTGCCAGAAGTTTTCTTAATCACTAATTGCCTCGAGAAAAGATGAGACCAAAAGTCACTGGTCGACGTAAGCTCTCGGCTCTTGTAAGTAAACATGGCCTAACTAAACGTAAGTCAGAAGCTTTACCTAAATATAAGTCAGATGATATTACTAGTCAATCGTCACCCGTTGTAATTGGTCGGCAGCTTAATCTGTCTGCACTTGACCACTGCAATGAATTTATGCTAAAGTTTGGCTCTTTGCTGACAATTCTTGGACATTTATTAAACGGGAACATCTCCGATATTCCCTCTGAAGAATGTAGGCGTCTCGACTCACTTGTTCACCTGATCGCCAGTGAATCTAGTGATAGACAGAAGCGTTCTTACAACTTCCTGCTAAAAAATGTTCCTCGATCTGCTCGGCCAATTGATGTTGCGACCAGTTTCCTGTATTCATGTGGTTTCAACTATAAAATAGCTGATGCCAAACGCTTGTCTTCCCGTAGTACAAATCCACCCATCTTAGTCAAATTGTTTTCATCAATCGAAGTTGACACAATCTTTACTCATCGAGAGCGTGTCACTGCGTACCTAGAGAAGGCAAAATTTTTCCCTTGTCATGATCTTACTCCTATGGAGCGTAGAATCGGGTCTCTATTCTAACGTAAACCTACTGCTTCTCAGTCTAATGCTCCCCAACTCGGTCATAATACAAGTGGCCGTAAGGATTCAGCTTCTCCTACTCCTGCGACATCTGACTTCCTCCTTCCTCTTTCTCCTGCATCTCCATCTCACTCGAACCACTTGACGCATTTGCCTGCCCCTATACTTGCTGCAGCAGCAGCAGCAGCCCCATTTGTCGTTTCGTATCCTCCAGATAGTCCCGCTGAGACACATGAAAATCCGTCTACATCAGCTAGACCGATAACTTCTATTGTCCAACAGGGTGCTGTAAGGTCTACAGCTAAGTCAACAGTGGCTTGGCGTCAGAACGGTGAGACTGGAAAATCGAATCAGACTCCGACCCAAAAGATAGGTAGTACAGTTCCGTTTAGGGGTATGACGCCTTCTCTTAGATCTAACAAATCTGTTCAGCCCAGCACGTCTACAAACCCCGCAGCTCCAATTATCTCCCCGAATAATTCTCTGTCCTGTGTACCGGTTACTTATCAAAGCCCTACTATATATCCAGCAAATAATTCATACATGAATTGCCCTAAATCATTTATGCCCCAACCTAGTTCAGGCTTCCCAAAACTTAAGGCCAATTGCTCTCAGGTACGTCAACCTATCTCCTTTGACTTCCACTATCTCCTTTGACTTCCAATCTAGACCTGGTTTCCCACCATTTCATTCTTTTAGTGGCCTACCCTCTCCCATTAGCCCCTACTTTCCTTCTAGCCTCCCTCCTCCTCCCCTTCCTCCACTATTTAACTACCAACAAGTCTGTCCATGTTCTAACTCCCCTAGCATTCCAATGTTTGAAAACTATATCCCCACCTCCTTTAGGTCTCATACTCAGCCTTCTCTTGCTGACTCCCCGTACGTCAATAACTCTAAATTAACTGGTACTTATTCTCCAAGTGTCATTAATTCGCAGCGTACATATCCGCCTCCAAATTTTTTTAACTACCGTCGAAAATAGCATTGCCGTTCAAAACACATTACATATTATGTTATTGAATGCCAGGTCTGTTATAAACAAGATGGCCCAAATCAGAGCCATTGCTCTGGAAATGACGCCTGATATTATATGTGTAACAGAATCTTGGACCCATTCTCTAATTCCTGACTCTGCCCTTCTCATAGATGACTTCGATTTTTACCACCAAGACCGCACGACTAGGCGTGGGGGTGGTTGTATTCTTTATCTTAAATCCTACCTAAAGCACTCTCCCTATTACTTGGATGTTTCCTCATTCACGGGAAACTTCTGCTTTGCATCTGTTATTCTCTCGCCGCAAAGAAAGGCAATTATTGGCTGTATCAACAATCGCCCAAATTCTTTAGCCAGTGATGATTCACAACTTTGTGAAATCTTTAAATTAATTTCGGAAGCTGCTTTCGATGTTAAAATAATCACTGGGGATTTTAACCTTCCTGAAATAGACTGGGTTTCCAATAGCTGCCCACCCAGATTCCAGCCCTTTCAAGATATTGTCAATTTTTCTAATTGGTCACAACTGGTGCGCTCTCCAACAAGAGATAATCGCATTTTAGATCTAAGCTTTACCAATGACATTGCTCCTCTTTCTGAATAGATGGCAAACTTTTGAATTTTATATCCTCTTATTTGGGCACTCGCACACAACGAGTTAATATTTCCAATACCATCTCCAACCCCACACGTGTGAGGAGTGGAGTCATTCAGGGTAGTGTACTCGGCCCGCTTTTATTTTGCCTTTTCGTTAATGATGTACCCGATTTATTTCAGAATGGTAAGCCTTTCATGTATGCCGATGATCTTAAAGTTGCATATCGATATAGGCCGGCAGACCATGACATCGTGCTTGAGCTCCTAAAGAGCGATCTACAGGCTTTCGCCCAGTGGTGCCGCACATGGCGCCTTTCTCTTTCCTGGCATAAGTGCTCAGTCATGGTGGTTGGCGACGACCGCCAACTTCAACTAAGTATTGAAGGTCACGCAATAAATGTGCCAGGGGTTATAAGGGATTTGGGCGTATCATACTCCAAGAGTCTTAATCTCTCGGAGCACTGTGCCTTGATAGTTTCCAAAGCACGTAGAACGACCGGGTTTATCCTCCGAAATTTTAAAACTAGGGACATTAGAATGCGCCTTTTCAACATGTACGTTAGACCTGGTCTGGAATACTGTTCGTTTTCATTTAGCCTCATGCGTGCTACTGAGCGGAAGAAAATAGAATCCGTTCAACACTTTTTTACCAAGAGAATTTTAGCCGCGGAACACCGACATTTGTCTTACCAAGAACGTTGCCGGCTTACAGGCCTCGATCCTTTATGGTTCGGTAGATTACAAAAGGGACTATTTTTGCTATTTAAACTCTTATATAATCACGCATTTAACCCACTCACCTCTTTAAGACATCATATCCACCCACGACGTAACAGTCACCGTGAGGTCTTCTTATTTCTGCCTCTGGCACGTACTGTTAAATATCGTCGGTTCTTTTCTGTAAATGCAATTGCTATTTGGAATAAACTACCCATGAGTGTGAAAACTCTGCAAAAGTTTCCTTTATTTAAGAGAACTATTACTCGATTTTTGCATTCAGAAAAGCTCCCACAAATTTTGGGTGCTGAATCTACTGATCGACTGTACCGTAGCGATGGCGTTTGTGGTCTCTGAACACTATGGCCGGTCTCACCAGCTGTTCCTCAACGCCTCTACTTTGACTATCCCCAACTTCATGAAAGGAATTTGACGTCCGATAATCTCCGATACCGTGCAACCTCCCCCTTCTTGACGGTCGATATTCTACCACCGCTGACAGTTTTTTTTCTTCTGAGCCCTCCAAACCACAAAAACCACCATCAACTATATTTTTATGCCTTAAGCTCAGGAGTTTTTTTTCACTGCTGGTCGGATTTGTGTTTAATCGCTTCCCTTGACAATGCCTGTAAACTGGCATTAAATTAAAATTTATTTATTTATTTAAAAGGACCTCTTTGACAGTGACCACGTATTAATTCATCTTACACCGGAAATCATAAAGGCACTGTTGACGGTCTTATTCCCGAACACTCAGATTCTGGACTTCGAGAAGGGTCCTCCTGGGATTAGATGGTAGATTAAGTGGTAACTTTTAATTATATCATTAGAAACCCTTGTTTCGAATTGGTTTCTAAATCCACTGCTATCACTCCCCCCCCCCATAGCGACAATTTTCGCGGTTTTTGATGTCATCTCCCGCATTCCGACCTCATGTGGTCTGTCGACGCTCACGGCGGAACCCTCAGTATTCACTGTCTACTACTAGTTCGGTCGTACCTCCCTTCCCCACTGTTCGGCTGAGCTCGAAGCGTGCTGTGGCCGATCGCATCTGGGTTCCTCTCGTCTGGCCTCTTTGACGCGGCGTACCAATCCGGCCCAGACGATCTCAATTGTGAATCCCGTATACAATGCCATTTGCAAGCCAGTCCTGTCTGACCCACATTCGTACCCATCAAGGCTGACATTTATTGCTACCCTGACGATGACCGACAATACTCCGTTATATACCGCCACCTACAGGTCAGTCCTGCTCGCTTTTTTCTGTCATTATTTTTATTGAGGGTTTTTTTTCTCCTGTAAAATTAATCCAATCATTTTAAACTTTTTGTAAGGAGTTTTTTTCCACCCCTCAATCATCATGTTTCTTAATGGACTTCTAATTCAGAAACTATGAATTGCATTTTGTAAATATTCGGCCTACCTCGTCTAAACCTCGCATGTAAATTTATTTTAACTTGCTTTGATGGGACCCCGGC